CTACGGCATGCACGACTACGAGTACCCCCCCCCCCCCCACCCCCGGGACAGATTTTCAAAGCTATTTAGATTTTTACTCTCCCGCAAAAACGGAGTGGCAGATCGATCTCAAAGACTAAAATCTTGCCACCGTTCTCGTCGAGGGTTTCCCTAAACCACGTCGTTTGATTTTGGGCATCCTCTTCGTCGTGGCGTAGTCGAGCGAGCTGTGAAAATCGGTCCAGGGGGCGTGGTATCTTGTGTCATGTCATCTGCGGCAGTGCTGCTCGTGGAGGGCTGGCTGGTCATAAGCTCGCGTAGATACAACGCTGACCCTATGACTGCATCGTAGAGCGTATGTGCCAGCTGAGGCACAGCTTGGTTCTGGGGGTATAGACTAGTAGAGTAGACAAGGCGACAGAGAGCTTGCGCCAGTACACAAGATCGGTGTCAGGTGCTGCATTGGAGACGGACGGGCTTGGCGAATTAAGAATGAACGCGACCAGGCTGTGCCTTGTTCGGCACCAGCATGGATACATCTGTTGTCGATATAGACTACTTGGTTTCGCTCTTCACCACGAATTGGTGTCGAAGCGAAGCGAAGCGACCTTTTATGTCTACCTTCCTGAACACGGCACCAACAGGAATAGGATGCTTTGCTCGCACGCCGCACTCTCAGATTCGGTCACCACCGCCGTACTGCTGTACTGCAGTACAGCGCCGGCCGTTAGTCCGAACAAATACCGAATACGTGTCTGTTGAATCTGTAGACAGACGACAACAAGCAACGTCTAAAACACAAACGATAAGTGCACAGCGACCTTGAGGCTGGATAGCGTGGAATCAGCCGCTGCTACAGGGCTCATGAGAAACTCCTCTGGCAATGCAGTACCTGTACAGTTCAAACACGCACACAACGTGTTTCGCCCACTCTCTTTGCCGTTGACTATTACAGATGTAGAACAACATACCTTGATCGACCTCTGTTCCTTGACTCTCCCGCGCGACAGCCTCCAGCGAGGATATCCACCCGCTCCCCGGCTTTCTCCTCCCACCAACCTCCATTGCACCCGTGGTCGATGGACCAACGATGAGCTGCTGTAACAACAGACGCGTGTGTGTGTCCGAATTTGTGTCCGTGAGTCTGTGATGCGCGGGTTCGGGGTTTCGGGGATCCGGCGAAAAGAAAACGCGGCGGAATTACAGAGCTCGGTGTCCCGCCGCCGCACCTCGGGTGCTCTTCATCAATCCCGTTACCTGTCAATCAGCGCATCAGCAGTAGATGATCACAGCAGCACCTGCTGCAGTGCGCGATGGAACAGCTGGGTCCGGCGTTGTCGGAGTTCTACGCACCCACGACGAGCAATGAGCGCAAGCAGCAGCTGGAGCAGGGCCTGCACGCCTTCCAGGCGCAACCCAACGCTCACCTCACCAGCCTGGACATCCTCGCCTCTATCGTGAGAGAGACAAATGAGAAAGGGAAATCCTTGATGCGGTGTTGTTGTAGTGGCTTACACGGCACAAAACCCGAGATACATAGCTCAGCATCGCTCGCGGTGGAGGAACTGTTTCTTGCAATCGATGTGGGCACGATGCCACCCCATCGCGATGTTGTGTATTCAACATTCAGCAGAGGTTTCCTCTCTCTCGTACAGCAGTCCTAAAGCTGAATAAATGTGCAATGTTCCGTCTCAGCGATCATGTCTACTGCTGTACTGCTCTGTGGCCCTTCCTTGCGCGTGCGGGTCATGGTACATCTGCAGCTGCCGTGTCAAATATCTCTTCTGTCCTATCACTTTGTAGGTATAACGAGTACGCTACACTTCATGCACGCAGTTGGCGTAACGTGTTTTGCTGAGTACTGCTATTCCTGGGCGAAATCCTCCGAAAGCGTACATGGAACTGAATACCCAGGACTACCAGTCAATAATGTTGTGCATGTGCAAGCAAGCAGACCCCATTCGTGAGGGACTTTTAACGGATCTCAACGGCACAACACCAGTGCAGCTGTAGAGCAGCAGTACCGCTTACCTAGAGTATTGCTTCGGGCCAATCGCGGTCAATCGATGCACGCGAGATATGCGCCTGCCCGCCCAACCCCACGCCGTCCTAACCCCCTGGAGAAGCTCGAACGGCCAAGCCGTAACCTCACCTTCTTGCTACGCGTTGGCCCCCTGTGCCCCTATCTACTTTGCGGGGTTTTGTACTGCATTGAGTTAGCATGTTGAATGAAGCATTCAATCGGGAATGTTGGGTGAGGGTTAGGGCTAGGAAATAAGGGTCTGCGTACATTCCCTCCCTGTTCTATCTCCTCATTAACTTTTTTTCTCGTGAAAGCGGTCCGTTGCGAAAGCGGTCCGTTGTGCGAAACTCTCCCATTCGCGCCGCAAGCCAGATAGTTAATGCAGCGCCCCCGAAATCGCTGTATGCATATTTAGTGTGAACGACAATCGCCTGCCAGCAGCAGCGCGTGTACTCCCTCCGCTCCACCCCGCCACCCCACCGCCGTCTCCCCCCATCCCCTGACAGAAGCGGGCCCTCCATGATGCAACAACAGCAGGCGAAAGGCCTGCTGTTTGTTTTTTCCCTGTGCGTATGTATCTCGTTGGTCTCCTTCCCTCTTCGACACGAATGGCCACAATGCCCTTGTTCGGCAAAAAATCATAAAACAACAGCACCGAAACAAACCCGCCCCCCTGCTGCCGCAGACTATTGTACCTAATCAGCGTAGCTTTCTCCGACGTCCTTTTGTCCGTCCCACCCGGGCCCGCAGCGTGCTGCGATACGAAGGTCTGCCGAATGTACCAAAACTGCCCAGCAATTGAATTGCTACGCTGCGACCATTCATCGGTCGTGACCACTCTCCTGGCGGCCCTTTACAACTCTTTCGGTCATGCATTTGAGTACCAGCACTCTCCTCCCACACCCTCGGCCCGCGCAATGATCGTGCGTACCCCACCCTTGCCCGACCGCAGGGCCAACGGCGCGAGCAGGAAGACCTGTTCGTGCTCTACTTCTGCGGCACGACGATCGAGGGGGGCATCCGCAGACGGTGGAGCGCGATACCCAAGGAGGAGAGGCTCCACGTCAGGAAGACCCTTTTCCAGGTTAGGGGTTGCTGGTGTCTTGGCGGCGTGTGCGCGGGGAGGCGCTCGGGCAAGACAGGGACGAAGACAGCAACAACCCCCCGCTGTTGTGTTACATGCTCAGGGACAAAATCTTGGGAGTTCAACCATCGTGTGGCGGCAAGGATTCGTCCGTTTGTTGTCAAAAGTAGGAGGGGCAGGGTTCGAGAATCACAGAGACTCCAGGTTGTTGTGGGTGGGGCGTACTCGTATGTCTTGCATGCCTTAACGGTTAGACCATTGACCACGCGTCCTTGAGAGGACGGAGCATTGTTCCCACAGGACCGATCACCGATGGCCAATCGTTCCTTCTTACTTTGCCAAAGGTGGCTCAAATATGTGTTCCCTAGTCTATCTGTCCTAACGATATCATTTTCCGCCTTTTCAAACCACTTCCTATTCCCCAGTACAGCTGCCGTCTTCTCCTCTCTGTTCCATGCCTCAAACATCTTCCTGTACGCCCCTTGTATTTTTCCCAGCTCAGTCACGTACACTTCCCTTTCCTTTTCGTACAACTGACATTCCGCGACTACCTGAACACGGACTTTGCACTCGAAGCCGCAATCACATTTGAACTTGTCGTCTTCGTCGTCCACCGTCCTGTGTCTTCGTCGACGCTATCGAAGGCCTATGTTCCTGGTCCTGAATTTGACCTTAGCTTTGTCCCTGCATCCATTGGTCCATGCAGATAATCCTTGAACCCTATTCCTTCCTTCAACATTCCTCACACTTCTAGACCCTCCGCATCCTCGGTTTCTTTCCTTACATTCTGTTCTTCTCTCTCGGCACAAGCAACAGATATCTTCTCCTTGAACCCCTGTAGACCCTCCGTTTCCAGCGTTTCATCTTCGTCGATGTCGAGCCCCTTCCATACGTCCTCTACAACCTTGACCCATTCCGTGGGTTGTCTACCCCTCTTTCTGTTTGCCCACTTCGCCTCCCATACAATTCTCGGCTACCTCTCCTCTCCCATCCCGTACACGCGGTACTGCCCTGACGGCTGCGTTACTTGTGCGCTTGGAGCACCCTAGGATGATTTTCGCTGCTTTCATCTGCGCCGCCTCGAGTTCGTTCACTACCTTCTTATTTCCTTCCCATACTTCTCCGGCGTACTCTAGCGGCGGTACGATTACGCTCTTCAAAACCTTCAATCTGATGCGCTTATCGAGGTGCCTGTTTGCGAGTATTGGGTGCAGCTTCCCGGCTCGTGCTTTGCCCTTTTCCGCTACCTTGGACATTTGTGCATTCCACGAGCAGTCTTTTGCGATCTCTACTCCGAGGTATGTGCACTGGTCCACTACTGCAATCTCCTCGATCCCGCACTTCCATCTATATTCTACTGCTCCCTCTCTGTCCTCGTTGCATACCATGGCGGCACTCTTCTTAACGTTGGCAGACAATCTCCACTTATCAGTAAACTTCTTCGCCGCGTCAATTTGCAGTTGCAGTCCCTGAGGGGTGTCCGACATACCGACAAAATCATCCGCAAACAGCATTTCCGACACCGAAGTTTCCGTGTCCCCTACTTTTACTCCCTTCCGGACTGCCTCTACGACTTCCAACGGATCGTTGATGAACACCTGGAACAATGTTGGGGACAGCGTGCAACCTTGTGTTTGTTGGGGGGGCGGGGGGTTACCAGAGGGGACAACTCCTTCACGGCAGGAAGGCGATTCTTTCGTTACAGGACTAATTATTCGGAGGGGTCGAATCGTCAAATACATCGTATCAAGTTGACCACACAACCGTACCTCTACAGAACTCAGTTCTTGTTTTCACTTCTCTCTTGTTTCAGCTCTGAGCGCCGCTCGCTCCGTGTGCGTGTTACCGCCTCCGCCGCCGCCTCAATGCAGTATCTCGCGACTTCCCACGCGTCGCTACCGCGATGGGTCGTGACGAAGCTGTGCAAGGCCCTCGTGGACGTGGGAAAGGTGTCGTGGCCACAGGAAGATCCAGATTTCCTGACGGAGCTGATGCAACTGGCCGNGGGGGGGGGGGGGGGGGGGGGGGGGGGGGGGGGGGGGGGGGGGGGGGGGGGGGGGGGGGGACTGCGGTGCTGTCTCGGTTGCGTTGCCTCTCTCGGTGTTGTTTTGTTTCATCTTGTGTGCTTGTTTTCATGTGGTGATTTCCCTTTGAGTTTTTGTGTGGTTTTGTGTGTTGTTCGGTGCTGTGATTGGTTAGGTCGCGCTGTCCTGCTATTGGGTTTGTCCAATGTCCTGCCACACAAACACCAACAATGCTACAACTGTAACGAAAACCGTGCGTGTGTGTAACCCTGTTGACGCCTCACTCATTTGTTGTCTCAGCCACGAGGCCACCCGCTTGGTGGGGCTGGCTCTACTATCCCTCGTGTCGGAGGAGTTCGTTAGGCCCGACTCCCCGCTGCCGGACGTTCGCAAGAAGGAGCTCAGGGCAAGCCTGGTGTGGGCGATGCCGAGCATACTCCACGTCCTAGCGGAGGTGAGGGCAAGACCCCGCTGTGTTGAATTTTTCATGCACGGAACCCCCCCCCCCCGCTCTTGGCAGAGTAGAGAGGAACGATTGGCCATCGGTAATCGGTCCCGTGGGAACAATGCTCGGACGCGTGGTCAATGGTCTAACCGCTGAGGCATGCAAAGCATGAGAGTACCCCACCCCCATGGTGTTTCTGACTCCAACGGTCCGCCAAGGCCAAGTCAAGGAGGGGTCGAACAAATACAGTTGTCGTCCCAGATTGAAGGAGACACCGGTTTGCTCAGACGATGTGTGCCCCACAGAATGAAAAATATATGAAAGCATGCGTCCCCGCTTGAACGACATTTTTTTTCGGCTTCAAAACCGTGAGTGTCTAGAGGGGACGGCTGCTGTATCCCGGAGGATGCGCTCAGGAGTTGTACGGATCATGTTTTGTGAGCTGGTCCAGTGACTAAATGTGTAACCAGTTCAGCTCGGTCGTGGTGTTATGATTCGGCGTATATCTGTCCTCCATCAGGTTATTGCGGCTTCACGAGACTCGGCAGCCGGGGTGGCGCCGGGAGCGACGGCGGAGACCGTGGGGGTTGCGAGAGAGGCCGTGCTCGCAGCCGCGCGGTGAGGAAGGAACGTAAAGATGGCGGGTGGGGGATTCGAATCCGGGTTCTCTTCGACGAGAAGCAGACATCTCATAGCAACGCCAATGTGAACCATCCTCGACGAGAGGTTGGGTGATTGTACCCATTGTGAACGGGATCTCCGCACGAGTAGCGATAAATATGCTGTTGGGAGGGGGGGGGGGG